AAAGACAAGAAAAAGATGAGGAAAAATGATAACTTACCAAAAATGGTAAGTGTCAGAGAGAAACAAAACAAAAACTAAGAAGGGATTTGAGATGTTGCAGAGAGTAGGTGTGAAATTTTATTTTTTAATTTATTTTATTTTACCTTATTTTGTTTTACTTATTTTGAGAAAGAGAGAAAGAGAGAGAGAGTGAGAGCATGAGCAGAGGAGGGGCAGAGAGAGGGAGAGAGAGAATCCCAAGCAGGCTCCACACTGTCAGGGTGGAGCCTGACTCAGGGCTCAAACTCACAAACCATGAGATTGTGTGACCTGAGCCGAAATCAAGAGTTGGATGCTTAACTGACGGAGCCACCCAGGTGCCCCTCAAAGTGTGAAATTTTAGATTGGGATGTCAGGAAGGATCTTCTGAGTCAATCTATGAAAAAAGATGTGAGCAAGGTGAGCCTGAAGTTCTCTGGAGCAAGAGTGTTCAGGAAGTGGGAACAGTCGGTGCAAAGGTCCTGAGGTAGGAGCACGCCTGGAGGGTTAGGAGACCATCAAGGAGACTGGTATGGCTGGAGCAGAGAAAAAAGGCAGGAAAGTTTGAGACAAGGTTAAAGAGGTCGTTAGGGCCAGATTAAGAAGTGCTGTGAAAGAAAGGAGTTTGGTTTATATCCTGAGCCCTCAGCAGGTAGGAGAGCGAACTCTTTGTAAGTGACGGGAGTGGTTAGGATGACTGGAGGTTCTCTTCAGCTAGCCAGTGCATGACACAGGGTCCCCATTTGGGACCGAGATACCCTCCTTCTCAGAATTAGGGGCCGGTAGATAACACAGAGTGTGTCTATGTGTGTGTTTGGGGGAGGGTGGGACAGGAGTCCCGGCTGAGATCTTCACTGCTCGGAACCGCTGGGATGTTTGGTCCAGGGAGCCTCTGAAATGTCATCCAGCCCTGAGATGCATGAGCCTCTCAAAGTGCCCAGCTTGGGGAACCCACGCTCGGCAGCCCTGAGCTGACTGTGCAGGCTTCCACTTGAGAACACGTGCCAGGGCCTGGTGGTGGGAGCAGCTCGGTCACGCCCCTCCAGGCCCGCCGATCTCCGTGTCTGGATGGCCTTCCGGCTTGGAGGTGGCTCTCTGGTGGGGACGGTCATTAGTGGTCCCCTCGGGGCAGGAGATACTGCTAAGGAGGGACAGAGAGGCAAGGTGGCCTCCTCCTGGAGCCAGAGACCAGAGACGGGGGCCAGAACCAGCACCCCCAAACCCTGCTTTTCCGTGTCCCTTCTGGGGTGGCCGAGGAGGGTGTCCTAGAAGTAACCCAGGGAGAGCCACCCAGGGAGAGCTCCCAGGTGAGCCCCGCCTAGACTGCTTGTCGTGACCTTGCTCCAGGCCGTCAGAGGCCCCAGCGGGCCAGGGAACAGGGACTTGGTTGAGCCAACTCGGGGGAAGGGCTGGCGCTTCCCTGTATCTCCGGTGTTGGCTCCTGGCTCCTGTGGGGACAGGCCCCTGCATCTCCCCGGGACCAGAAGTGCCGGCTTCCAGCCATTCCCCGCTGGCACCAGCCAGCGGCCCCCCAGAGGCCTCATTAGGCTGCTGGTGGCTCCGGCGGGGCCGCTGAGGTGTGGCGGGCAGGTCTGACATCATAGCCCGTGGAAGCCCCAGGGGGCTATGAGAGGGGTCCCCGCTGAGGAAGGCGAGGCTGCCATGGAGCCGCTCTGCCGGCCCCGGGCCCCCAGCTGCCTCCCTCCTCTGCTCTACTGCCTTACGGACCCGGGAGGCTCAGCTGGTGCCTGGTCCTCCTCCCTGCCCCACCCAGGGCCGCTTCGGAGGGCGGCTGCCATTCTGTCCCATCTCAGCTGCAGAAAGGGGCCGGGTGTGCCCTAGGCACGACTGGACCGGAGAATGGAGGCACAGCTGAGCGAAGGCACTCGGGGACCCACAAATGGCCCTCGATCACCCCTAGGGCGGCCTTTGCAGGGAGCTCTCCCCTGGGCACACAGGGGCCGGTGGCTGTGGCTCGCAGCTTCCCCCTGGATCCCTGCCCCAGCCCGCCCCAAGGGCTCCCCTGCCAGCCCCTCCTCCTCGACTCTGACTCTCTCTCTTCCTGCCTGTGGGCTTGGGCTCCGCTGGGGTGTGGGGAGGGAGGGAGGGAGGGAGGGCCGCACTTTCCATCCCGGCCCTTGGCGACCAGTACCTCACTGCTCTCTCCCACCGAGGACACAGCCGGCAGCTCCTGCCATGGACAGGTGGTACCTGGGTGAGTCTCTTCGACCCCATGCCTCCCACCTGCTCGGACTCGGATCTACGTGTCTGTCTCATCACATTCGGGTGCACCCACCTGCTCCCCGGAAGTGCAGGGAAAGCAGAAGCAAGGGCAGCTCAAGGTGGAGTCCTGAGAACCTGGTGATCTCTGCTCTGAGCATCTTTGGCGGCAGGAGCTAGGAAGACAGCTTGTCCAAAAGCCTCCTTTTCTGTCTGTCTGTCTATCCACCTGCAGGAATTCTATTTATTTTTTATAATCTTTTTAATGTTTTATTTATTCTTGAGAGAGACAGAGACAGAGCACGAGTGGGGGAGGGGCAGAGCGAGCCGGGGACAGTAGGCTCCAGGTTCTGAGCTGTCAGCACAGAGCCAGAAGCGAGGCCCGAACTCACAAGCCATGAGATCACAGCCTGAGCCTAAGTCGGATGCTTTACAGACTGAGCCGCCCAGGCGGCCGCATCTGCAGGAATTCTAAAGCCAGGCTGCTGGGTTCAAATCTTGTTTTCCCCATTTCCTAGCTGCCTGCCCTCTGGCAAGTTATTAAACTTCTCTGTGTCTCAGTTTCCTCATCTATAAAATGGGGATGATGATAATACCCCCCTGACGTCAGAGTTGTTGTGATGATTATGTGACTTAGGTTTTGTTATTTGCTTACAACAGGGCGTTGCACAGAGTTAAAAATGCAGATAACCACTTGTTTTTACAATTTCCCCTTTTGTCTAAAACCATCTCTCCCTCTTTCTTCTATCTCTCTCTCTCTATCTCCTATCTATCTATCATCTATCTATCTATCTATCATCTATCTAAACTTTCCACCTATTTTTTTTTTACCCCTTATTCAGGATGGAATCGCAGTACAGAGACAGACAAAATGCACTAAGATACCAAGAGCCTGTGTAGTCAGGGACACAGTGGAAGAGTGACAGTAGCTTTGAGAGCCCAGCCTTGGGGATCTGGCTTTCTAGCCCCGGTTTTGTTACAAATGGGGTTTCTGTTAAATCCTTCAACCTCCATGCCCTCAGTCTTCTCGGTCTGCCCAGCGGGGCTCATGGCACCTCCCTGGCCACCTCCAGGGGCCGTTTCAAGGAGCAAATGATCAGCCTCAGTTTCTTCATCTGTAGGATGGAGCCACCACGGATTCAGTGGGACGGTGCATGTAAAGAGCCTGACGCACGGTCAGCCCCTACCGAGCAGGAGCTGTGTTGTTATGTGCTCATGAATATTCATCGCTCGGCTCTGGGAGCAGAAGACTGCTGACGGGGGTCAGGGCTCCTGGGCTGGGAGGTCGGTCATGTCGTTCTCTCTCCATCTCACCCCATGCTAATTTTCACTGCAGGGTGGTTGGCTTTCCTGTGTCCAACAGTTAACATTCAACAAAATGTTAATGTCCTTTATTTCTCCAGTCGACACAATACAACAGTAACAATAGAGACTCGTGCTGTGTATCAGGCCCAGTGCCCTGCTCTCTACATGCACTTTCTCCCTTTCTCTTCACAACAAATCCCTCGGGTAGGGAATAGTCCCATTTTACGGATGAGAGGACTGAGGCACAGAGAGGTCCAGTAACTCGACAGGGGCCATTTACTTAGCAGGTGGAGGAACCAGGAAATGGACGCAAACTTTGATTCCCCTACAGCCGCTCCAGAAGGATTAACAGATGGGCTCTTTCCCTTTGGAAGGACCAGCCCCTTGTTGGTGGACACGACTGTGAGATTTGGCCCCTTGGCTACCGCAGACCATCAGCCTCTTCTGGAGGCCAGTTCAATGGACTAGAACTCAGCCAGGAGTATGAACACCCAGGGAGGGCCCAGCCCTGGGGTCCCTGAGGTGCAGGAGGCCGCAGCAGAGGGGTGGGGAAGCACCTGACCACTGAAGCCCCAGGACTGCCTGCCTTTCTCCACTTTGCCCCTCACTGGCTGTGTGCCCTTGGGCCAGGGCCTTAACCTCTCTGTGCCTCAGCCGCCTCCTCTGTAAAATGGGAACTAACACAAGGCACAAGGAAATAATAGTGAGGAAATCGCTTTGTAGATGATGAAGGCAAGGCTGGACTTGGCCCCTTCCTTGAAGGAGATGATGGTGCAGCCCTGGGCAGCTGGCTTGGGGACACCCGGATTGTAGAAGGAAAACGCCAGAGGCCGCAGGAAGAGAGAGCTCCGTGAGGGGTGACTGGGGCCTCCCTGGCTGAGGTGTGAGCTGCTAGGGGCAGCCTCGGTGGGTGAAGGAAAGGCAGGCTGGGTTGCGAACGTGTCTGGTGGGCTCCACGCGGGCCGTGAGATGGGAGGGGGCAGGCACCCGCAACCAGCTCAGGGGAGCCCTGAGCGCCGGGTAAGAAACAGCAGCCGCAACAGTGATCTCCACGGTGGCTGGTGAGGCTGCTGGCGTTGGGGCCTCCGAGGGCCCCTACACTGTCCCCTGAGCTGTGGGACACACTGAACACAACTTAGAAAGTGCTTCCCCGCTGCCCCAGCCCCAGCCACGCCATCTCCCGCTGGTGGAAGAACACTGGCCTTCCTCTCCCCGGCGCTTCTCTGGAAATTTCCTTTGGGAGGATGTGGAAGCCCAGCCAGCCCCTCCCTGCCCTGCCTGCCCCCTCGCCCCCTCGTGCCTCCGAGGGAGCCCTCCGCTCGCACCAGGGCTTCTCTTGTGACCAGGGTAAATATTACCTGGCACTGTTAATGTTTAATGCCCCCACCTCGCCCCTGGCCACCCCACGGCCAGGCAGTGTCCCCGAAGTGGAGGCCGAAGAGGGCGGTGGAGACCAGCCCAGGCCACTGGGGAGATGACAGGGCTGTCGACCGACGACGGTGAGTGTGTGCGAATGTGTGTGAAGCAGGTGGCCGTCTCTCCTTGGCCCACCTTTGGAGGGATGAGCTGCACCCCGACCCCCCCCCCCGCCCCCCCGCCTTCCATAGTCCCCAGCCCCTCCCCCACCCTCACCAGCCTCCTACAAGGATTTTTTAACAATTGCTTTGGAAAGAGGATCCTGCCTTAACTCTGAACGGCAGAACGGGGCAGGGGGGCGCTGGGGGTAAGGGGGGGATGCGCCTCCATCCTGGGATGCATCCGGGCACAACGCATCTGTCGGGACTATCTAAGCTCAGAGCGGGAGGCGGAGGGGGTCAGGCTGGCTTTGAGAGCCCTCCCAAATTTGGGACTCCTCTAGAAGGATCCTGTGATGGGGGTGCCTCAGGCCCGGAGGCTAATAGGGGCCTTTGTTGACCACGGTGGGCTTTGAGCCAGACCTAGAAAAGATGAGGGCTTTGGGTGGGGGGGGGGGCTCACGAAATGGCTCAGGACAAGCGATGAGCGATGAGCGCCCCTGTAGGGCCAGGCACTGACCCCTCCTGGCCGGGGAGGCTGCACTGGGGACAAGTGGGCTCGCCAGGCCCCAAAGCCCCACCATGACCCCGGGCACGGTTCAGCACAACACCGGAGGTGCCGCCTTGCGCCTCCCTTCTACCTCGCGCACGGCTTACTTGTGCCAAGAAGGGGCTTGAGCAGGACAGGACAGCGCGTCGCCCTGAACTCCTGCCAGGCGCCCTCCGGCTGCCCAAAGACAAGTGTGCTCAGTGTCCAGAGGTGGGGGGCAGAGCTGTGTCCCCTTGGGTGGGAAACACCACAGGAGGCAAGGAGCCGGACCACACTTGACCTTGAAATGTCTTGTTCCTTCTAACCATCTGAGCGGCAATGTAGCAAAGGGGTTAAGCACCTAGATTCTTAACAACCTCCTGCCTGGGTTCAAATCCAAGCTCTCCTCTTTATGGTGTGTAATGTGACCCCTGTGTATTTCTGTCTTCTTATGGACTATTCTGGAATAACATTAATGCTTCATAGGGTTTTTATTTATTTATATCTAATAATGTATTTCTTTTTTATAATTTACATCCAGGTTAGTTAGCATATGGTGCAACAATGATTTCAGGAGTAGATTCCTTAAGCCCCTTACCCATTAGCCAACCCCCCCCAGCCCCTCCAGCAACCCTCTGTTCTTTATAGTTAAGAGTCACTTATGTTTTGCCTCCTCCCTGTTTTTGTATTATTTTTGCTTCCCTTCCCATTTTTAATTTTTTTTAATGTTTATTTTTGAGAAAGAGAGAGAGACAGAGAGACAGAGTTCGAGCAGAGGAAGAGTGGAGACAGAGGGAGACACAGAATAGCAGGCTCCAGGCTCTGAGCTGTCAGCACAGAGCCCAACGCAGGGCTCGAACTCACAAACTGCGAGATCATGACCTGAGCCAAAGTCAGAGGCTTAACCGACTGAGCCACTCATACACGCTTCATAGGATTGTTTGGTGGCTAAATGAGCTAAAGTTCTGTTAGCCTTAGCCTGGCATGTGGCAAACACTATATATTAATGTTTCTTCAAAGAATTTGCTTCTTGTTGAGGACAGAAGCATAAAAGAGAAAAACCTAGAAACTTGAGTTCAAGACCTAGTTCTACTTCGAACTTTCGTGGGGACTTAAAACAAGTCTCCAGACCGGGCCTCGGTTTTTCCCTTCCGCTCAGTGAATGCTGACGGCCTCTCCGTTCGCTGCACAAATGTTTGCTAGGCGCTTGCTAGTCATGTGGAGAGAGGCTGCTGGGGAGTCTAATGGGCGATGTCTCCCTCGACCTTGGTCACTACCGTAGGAAGCCAGGACAGGAAAGAGCTACCCCCACCCCCGTTTCCAGAGGCCCCCACCGGCAGCACAGAGCTCTGCTTTGGATGCTGGGTGTTTGGTCCCAAGGTGACGATCTGGAGCAGCCTAGGACAGATGTCCCCGCTGGCAGTGGCGTTCACAGCCCCACTGGCCTCCCACGTGGACATGAGATGGGAAGGATGGGAATTCCACTGCTTCACGACCGGCTTACCTGGCCTCCGGCTCTCTCTGCAGGTGGCAGCCCCAAGGGGGATGTGGACCCATTCTACTACGGTAGGCCTGGTGGGCCCTCCTCCCCCACCCTTCCGGCCACCACCCACAGACACCTGGTCCCCATCCACCCCTGTTAGCATGGGGCTGCTGCAGGGTGGGCTGGGGGGGGCGGGGGCGGGGCGGCCCGGCCCACCTCCCGGCCCTCTCCTTCCTCAGACTACGAGACCGTCCGGAACGGAGGCCTGATCTTTGCCGCCCTGGCCTTTGTCGTGGGGCTCATCATCATCCTCAGTGAGTGGGGCTGGCCTCATGCTGGGAGGGGCTGCTGTGTGGGGCCTCATCTCTTCTCAAAGCCGCTGGGCCCTGGTTCCCCAGGTGGGGAAGCCCTCTCACTCCCTTCCCAGATCCCAGAAGGGAAGGGAGTCTCTCCTCTCCCCTCCATTCCCCCATGCAGGACGTGGGAGCTGACGGACACCATGATGGACAGAGGCACCCCCCTCCCCCCCCATGCCTCCCTGCTTGGTCCTTGGACCACACAGAGCAGAGTTCCCGTTTCCTCACGTGCGCCCTCTGGTGGCCAGTGGAGGAGCAGCTGAATGGGAGAGCAGGCTGGTCCAGCCTGGAACCCTCCAGTGTACATGGGGTTCGAGGGGGAGGGAACCAATCTCCACGGGACGCCTCCCTTGGCCAGATCTGGTCCCTTTCCTTTCTTGGCATGAGCTACATCTCAGTCCATTTATCTAAAAAAATTTTTTAATGTTTATTTATTTTTGAGAGAGACAGAGTGTGAGCAGGGGAGGGGCAGAGAGAAAGGGAGACACAGAATCAGAAGCAGGCTCCAGGCTCTGGGCTGTCAGCACAGAGCCCGATGCGGGGCTCAAACCCACAAACTGTGAGATCATGCCCTGAGCCGAAGTCAGATGCTGAACCCACTGAGCCACCCAGGCACCCCCATCTCAGTCCATTTAATCCTCTCAGCAACACAGAGGGATGGTCAAGACTCTCGCATTTTCCAGATGCAAACCACCCACTCTGGCAGGTGCAGCCGTTTGCTCTGGGCTCCACAGCCGATCAGAAGCAGAGCTGGGTTCAGCTGCCCCCTCCCCACCTTGCTGGAAGGCAAATGCAGCTGGGAGCCAGAGGCATCAGGGCACACTGCTAGTTTACCACGGATCCCCAACTCCCTGGGCCTCAGTTTGCTCATCTGTCAAATAGGGATGATCCCAACTACCTTATAAAGTCAGGGCTAGCTTCCAAAGACACGTTAGCCAAGAAAGCATTCCGACCTAGACTGTTCTGGAGGAGAGAGGGGTCCTTGTATATCCCCTGGCCCCAGCCCCACAGGCACACAGCAGGGGCTTACTAAATGCTTATTGACGTGTTTTGGTGCACCCAGAAGAAACACACACAGAAACACGACCAGTTCTGTGTCCTGGGATTCTAACACATCCGTGGTTGGTGCCATCCAGTCTGAAGGCTTCAGTCTGCAGGCACGGCTGGTTCTGGAAGTGTCTGGAAGTTTCTGGCGGTCAGCACTGTGGCGTGGTTGAGCACACGGCTGCAGGAGGCAGACAGCCTGAGCAGAGATCCTGGCTCTGACTTTACAGTTGTCCTCCAAGAGCTTACTGAGCAGCTACTGTGTGCCCAGCCCTGCGCTGCGGGCACCGTGGCAGCCCAGGCTCGACGACCGCTCTGGGCATGCTCAGTCTACCGTGGATTCACTGCAGTAAATGTTTGTTGACCGGCTGACTGAATGGCTCAGGCCCCTGAATGCTATGGCCCTGCCATACTTAAAGAGAGAAATAGTCACCCGTGTCTCTGGCGGGCGGGAGGGAGAGAGGACAGAGAGGGTCTCCTGGGAAACAAGAGGCTGATGGAAACTCGTTTCCTTTCTCTCCTCCAGGTAAAAGGCTCCGCTGCGGCGGCAAAAAGAAACACCGGTAGGTGACCCCCCAGGGTGACTGAGCGAGGCAGGGTCACGGTGTGGAGGGACGGGAAGGAGGGGCAGGGATGCGGGGCGGAGGGGGACAGGAAGGAGGGGAGGGATGCGGGGTGGAGGGGGACGGGAAGGAGGGGCAGGGATGCGGGGTGGAGGGGGACGGGAAGGAGGGGAGGGATGCGGGGTGGAGGGGGACGGGAAGGAGGGGCAGGCCAAGGAGTTCAGTCTCTGAGGCCTTCGAGGAGGGGTCCCCAGCCTTAGGGACCCCTAGACTCACCACCGCCTCCTCGGATCTCTGACCTGTCTTTTCCCCTCCCCCACCCCAGGCAAGTGGACGGAGATGAGCTGTGATGACGGGTAAGCCGGGGAGGGACAGGTGAGCGGGGCAGCCAGGGACGGCTGGGAAGAGAGACTGAAGAGCTTCGGACTGGGCTGGGGGACTTTTAGGGCCTTCCTCCCACCAGCCGGGTGCTCTGCTACCTGGGTTCTCAAATGACGGCCAAGCGCCTGGCGTGGCCTATGTGGCCGAGGGCGGCTGCGAAGAGAAAGGCAGATGAATAAGGAGTAAGAGAAAAAGCCCTACTTCTGCGCTCATTGCAGCCCGAATCCCGTCTTTGTCTTTTCAGAGTCTGCTGTGTGCTCATTGCACCGGGGCCGTTGGGAAGCCTTCCGTGAGCTGTAGACCTTTGTCCCCAGCGCCGCCAGGCCCTGGGCTGAAGGAAGCACCGGGCCCCAGGTGACCCCTGGGTGCGCCTGGCCTCCTCCCACCTCACGGCCAAGCCTCCTGTTAATAATAAAGCCAGCCTCGGAGATGGCGCCTTCCTGGCCGGCCTCGCTCCCTCCTTCGCCCCATCCCTGCTGTGACAGACTCGCCCTTCCAGGCTGGGGTGCGATACAGCCTGGCCTCTGCCGGTGTTCGGTGAACTTGCTCAGGCGCCCGTGCCTGTTACAGCAGGGAGTTTAGTGTCAGCACCTGCAGGCCTCTCCTTCCCCCCTGACCCCGTGGGCGGACGGCTCAGCCCGCCTTGCCGACCCCAGGCAGAGAGAGAGCCCAGAAGTCTGAAGGTCAAGGACAGTTGGGTGCTGCTTGGGCCTCTGCCTCAGGCCCTGGAGGCCGCTCCTGGAGCTCTGCTGGGAGTTGGTGCGGACGTGCCCTGAGCTGCCTGTGACCACAGAGTGAGCCCTGCCAGCCCCCACGTGCACCAGCGTGCCGGGCCGGGGGGCCAGGTGTGGCCTTCACGCTCTCTCCCTACCCACCTCTCAACGTTGGTGCTAAGCTCAGGCCGCGCCCTTTCCACTCTTGGGACTTGGGGGCCCCATCAGGCCTATTCTCATCTACCTATGGGGGTGCTACCTTGGTTAAGCCCAGGGCCAGGGAGTGGGCAGTGGGGGTGGGGCCCTTGGTACCCTTTCCTCCAGCCCCGTCCACTGTGGCAGACACCCGCCCACGGACATCTTGAGCCAAGATGGTGCCAGACTGCCTCTCCCACCAGTGCCGAGCCTCCTGATGCCCACGGCCTCCTTGCAGGGCAGCCAGATGCCCTCTGGCAGTTTCAGAAGGAGCCCGTCTTCTCTCTCCCCCTCTTCCCTACGGAAGGGAGGATGTGGCTGGATCATGGCACCACCTAGTGTCCACCTCCCCATCAGGGTCTGTAAGCATGCCAGGGCGGGGGGGGGGGGGGGTGGAAATGGGCGGCGGAGCCCAGGCAGCCGCAAGTTCGTGGAGGTTAAAATAAACAGGGTGAGTCTGGGGGTCAGAGGCAGGTCGGCCACCATTCCACGTGCAAATTAAGTCCTTTGTCTTCTTCCACGGCCCCCGGGCCCTGAGGACCACCACCCCTCACAGGATCCCAGAAGGTTTGAACACAGAGGTTCCTTGGAGAGCAAAATAGACAAGTTTCATTTTTCAGAAAGGGAAACTGAGGCCCGGGGAAAGGCGGTGATGTGCACAGGTGACGCAGCCAGCCTGTGTCAGGACCAGAGCTAGAAGCCAAGTCCTCAGAGCCATTCCGGCTCTCTCCTCACCGACACCTCGGGGTGGCGGGCAGAGCCCCGACCCCTGTGGGCTTGGAGAACCCAGGGAAGAGAGAGAGGGGCTGGTGGGCGGTCACGGTCTGGGAGACCAGGAAAGCCTGGCCGCTTATAACCCGGGGCCAAGGTCTTTGCAACCGTCTGCTTCCAACGTGGGCTCCCCGAAGACAGGCGAGACGGGACAGGCCACGCCCCTAAGCCGAATTCAGGATCCACACACAAGGTGGAGCGTGCACGGGAGAAGTGAACAGGATCTGAGGGAGGTCGGTCAGGGACACTTTCCACGGGAGGTCGGCTCCTGAAGCTTCTCCATGTACCAAAGACTAACAGGAAGAGGGGGTGTTCCAGGTCTGTGGGCCACAGATATGGCTCACAAATATGAGCGGTGGCGAGGAGTTATATTTCTAGAATGTTCTATACACAGGCCTCCAGGGTGCCTACTAGGAGGGGAATTCCAGCAGCTCCACAGGGTGCCGGGTGAACCGCTCTGCTCTCCACTCCTTACTGCAAGCCCCCCACCCTTGTAAACCCAGAGGCTCCTTTGGGTCCCGGGTTACATGCCCCAGAGAGCCCAGGTGCTGTTCAGACACCCAGGACTCCCTCCAGAACCATTGGGTACAAATCTTGGCATGGGGTCTGCGAAAACTGATGCATAATAAGCTCCCAGGTGGTTCTGGAGACTAACGAGGCTGAGACCCACGGATCCAAGAGACATTCTGATGAGGTCTGTGTCTTGTTCCCGGTCAGGGCCCTTGGGAACACTTCCCCTTCCCTCTCCACAAAGGTCACACAGACTGGGAGCTACTGAACCTTCACTTCACTTTGGGATTTCTCACAATTCAGATGCAGTTTGAGCCACAAAGAACAACCAAGCCTTGGAATGATTGGGTGAATTTACTCTTAATCACACAACCGCAACGACAAAAACCGCCTTGTTTGAGGGGATGCAATTCCCATTATCACCACCAGAGGGAGCACGCGTCTCAGTCAAAACCTTCAAATTTGGCTTTTTCTAATTTTTAAAAATTTTTAAAAATTTATTTCTGAGAGAGAGCGAGCGAGCAAGCGATTATGAGCAGGGGAGGGTCAGAGAGAGAGGAAGATGCAGAATCTGAAACAGGCTCCAGGCTCTGAGCTAGCTGTCAGCACAGAGCCCCAAGCAGGACTCGAACCCATCAACTGCAAGATCATGACCTGAGCCAAAGTCGGATGCTTAACCAACTGAGCCACCCAGGCACCCCCAAATTTGGCTTTTTCAGCTCTTGTCTTTCCAAGGCCCTTTGGGGACAGTTAGGTCCCCCTGAATGATCTGCCCCGTGGCCTGTGTTTCCTGGGAAAGCTGGGAGCTCTTCTCATTCCGTTTGCACATTCATGGCTGTGGGTCTTGCCCTCTCACTCCTTCTGGAAGGCAGGGATCTGACATGGTCTTCCCCAGGGCTTGGGGGAACCACAAAGCCTCTAACCACGTAGCTGGAGTTAATCAACGTCATGAGCAGGACCTGAGAGAGGCAGAGGCGCTGGTCACCCACCTCTCAACTTCAGCCCCAGAACTTCTGACTTAACTGTTGAGATGTTGCTAGCTTCTAACCCCACTCCCAGGTGAATGTGTCTGTGAACAGCACTCCCAGCTGTGCCTCTGCAAGCCAGGGCGGTGAGGAGAGTGGGAGGCAGGAGGAACAGATACGGGGTGGACGCCAAGGGCCCAGGAAAACTTGACCTGCTTCCCCGCAGGCTGACATCGCCACCCTGCGCCAGAGGCAGCCTCGCCCCAGGGCATAAAAGCTGTGTGCTGACCTGGGATCCTAGGGCTGTGGGGTCTTCTCCCGGGCCTGCTCCACCCTGGCATTTCCCCGCAGCCTCCGTGCATGGGCTGGGCATGAGGGCAGGGAGGGGCCGTAGTAGGGTGGTGAGCCCGGCCGCTCGTGTGGCCCCTGTCCCAGGCTGGAGCGCCAATGCCCGACCTCACCACCCAGCCTCTGCACGCTGGAGGCTGGGGTGGGGGCTGGGAAAGAGCCCAGGGTGGGGAGTGGCAGGGCATCCCCTTTGGGATCTGGCTAGGTGGCCTAGGTGGGCCCCCCTGCACTTGGCTTTCCCCTCGGAGGGACTGGAGGCTTGCACTGGATGGTCCCTGGATCCTACAGGCATTGATCTCCTTTCCAGAGTAAGGGTGCCCCTGGCATGGGCCTCTGGTGTTTCCAGACATTGGGAGACTCCCCTGCACCCCCAGCAACCCCATACACCCACCCCTCCCGGGCTGATCAAGGAGGGGTGCCCTAAACAGCCCACCCTAAGCATGTACTCTGGTCCTATCTCTATCGGATCGAGTGGGGTCTCAGGCAGACAAGGTGGAGTGGGGGTAGCTGGCCTTGCTAAGAGGGCCCAGAGCAGAGAGGGGCGTTGAGTCCTCCCCAGGGGCTCCTCCTGCTCCTCCCAGCTCCTCCCAGCTCCAGGTGGGGCTGCTGCTGGAGAGATGAATGGCCTCCCTGTTGACCGGTGGGCCCCAGGCAGCTGAGCTCTGAGCTGCAATTCAGCAGAGACCTCCAGGGCGGCAGCGACGCGCCCCTTCTTCTCAGGCCGCCTGGCAAACACTAGGCCTGGGGGAGAAGAGAGCCCAAGGCCGCAGCCGCTGGCATGGTGGGGAGTCCCTGGCTGGGAAGATGGATCAGGTAGGGCCTCGGAGTCGGGACAGCTTGGGAGAGCAGAACCGAGCCCCGGGCTAGCCTGTGAGAGCCAGACGCGCAGCCAGGTGACCCGGCCGTGGAAGGTCCCCCCTGCTCAGCCTCAGTGGCCTCCCTCCTGCACGGGGGACGCTTCACATTGCTTGCAGTTGAGCGACTGAAGGCTTGGGAAGACATCCTTCGTAGAACTCGGAACCTCAGTGCTCAGGGAGGGCTTAGGGGAAACGGCAGGGGAGACCTGAGTGGGGGGCTCTCCCCACAGGTGCCGATGGGCGGCCTCGCACCTGGAGGGAGTGGCATGGGGGGGAGCAATTCCCGAGCTCTGATTTGGCATCTTATTTTCCCCTTTATTGGGCTGCCTGTTCTGACCCTGTGTGACCTTCTAGAGCCCCAGGGGCCCCCAGGGTCTCCGGGCTGCTGTTCGTTCATGAAGCTCTAAACTCAGTTCCCTTTTCAAGAAATTCTCTCTGCCGCTTCCCCAAAGGGCTTCTTTGGTACCCCAGGAGGGGTCCCCCAGGCGAGCATGGCAGAGGAATGGGAGAGGAGTGGAAAGTCCCAGGGAGGGCAGCAGGCTGTGGCCTCAGAAAGTCCCCAGCGCAGCCGGCGCAGGAGCAGCTGGAGAGCGGGCCTCGCTGCCAGCTTCGCCCTCAGCCTGCTGTGTGACCTTGAGAAGGCCCTAGTCTGTCTCTGGGCTCAGTTTGGGGAAATGCAAACACGGGATAAACATTCCAGGCATGGGCTTCCCCATCAAGGTCAAGGGGCATAGGGCAAGGGCAAGTGCAGAGCGGGAGCTGACCCCTGTTCCTTCCAGCCCCCCGGGGAGCTGTGCACAGGGAGAGCCGGGTGTGTGTACACGCGTGTGCATACACGCACACACCACAAACACACGCTTCCTTCCTCTTCCTGGTTGCTAAAGCAGAGGCACCCTGGGAGGGACGAAGGCAGACAAAAAGACACACTTGACAAAGCAGGGGAGCTGAGGCTGGCTTGGCCCGGAGCCAGGAGCATGTTGCGTTCTCTCGTGGTCGTTCTTTCCTGAAAGGCCCATCCATCAGCAGCAG